TTTCAACTATGGCTAAATTCAGGGAATAAGGGTAAAAGTATTCATCATATTGAAATGGCTAAAAATACATATTTTTTTATTAATCTGGAAATTCACATTTGCAATGGGAAGCAAGAAGGTTAAGTCTTTTAGTGGGTTCTTTAATCAAATGATTTGTATATATGAAAAGCTATATGAGTATGGAAAAATTATCTTTATGTTCAAAAAGGTAAGATATACTAGAAAATGTAAGGAACTCTTCAGAAATGTCAACAAAACACACACATAAAGATCACCCATTATAATTAGAGACTAATTTTAGGTGTTATAATTAACTTGAAATTAATTTTGGGGGATATACCAGATAGTTTCTTAAGATTCTTCCTCATCCTAAAAGTATTAACTGACACTCACAAAGGCAGAGATTATCCTTTTTAAAACTGCCTACTTCTCAAAGATCAGATCATCCTTCGTCTGCCTGGTTACTTTGCACACATAAGGTTTGGACATGGAAGATAGAAATGGGGCTGGCCTTCTTTGGTAAATTATAAAGAGAGGAAGAAAAGACAAAAGGATATGCCACACATTTACCACTTTACAGTATGACTTTTGATAGTCTTTCACGCAAAATAATATCCGTGTGAAGCTACAACAAACACTGTCAAAAAGCACTTAACACAATTCCTGAGACAATCCATATCAGAACCATACCTTTTTTGTTTACCTACCAAGATAATATCGCACAAAGTTTTCCATATCCCTGAAATTACCACGGACTCATTCAAACTGGAAAACTTCCCCTTTTTTCTTTACAAAACAAGATAGAAGAAAAGGCCAAGTATGATAGTTCATATTTCTATCTGCAACCATCTAATACACTAGCTCTTAACTAGGAGCCAATACATCAATAAGGACTATTGATCAATGATGTCTAGCACCACCCCCATCCCCAACTCTGATGGCAGCTTTGAACATATCTCTCTCCTGCTATGCAGTGTCCATTGTTACACATAAAAAGGAAGTATCCACAGTGGGAATCACAGACTCTTAAGGTCAGGTTGTGAGGGAACTAGGCCTTGGTATGCTCTTGACCTAGAACTTCTTCCTGCTCCCTTCTCACTCGTGCTTCTTCACTTGGCCAATGGAAGCCAAATCAGCAACCTTTCACAAGATATGGGGGAGGCTAAATGGCAGATTATTTTATTAAATATCTTGCCTGTTTGTTCTGAAAAGGCAGGGGTTAGCAAACTTCTTCTGTAAAGGGCCAGATAGCAAATACTTTAGGCTTTTAGAGCCAAATGGTCTTGGTCATAACTATGAAGTCTGCCATTGTAGCATTAAAACACCCATAGAAAATTCACAAACAAATGGGTGGGAATGGGTTCCAATAAAACTTTATTTACAAAACAAGCAATGGGCTGGGTTTGGCCTGTGGGACTTAGTTTGATAACCTCAGTTTTAAGGAAATTGCTCAAGTTTTGTGTTTTTCTTCTCCTATACTGGTGGAATTTTGGCATGTAGTGCAAGTTTGTTCATCATAACTAGATTTTTAAGGGGGAAAAATAACAGAGTCCCATCTATAGTGACTTATTTTCTATTCCCAAAATCCAGCTACCACAGGCACCCTCTGACCCACTAAAGGTGTGGGGGGTTATTGTAGGCCATGGTCAGGAGTGTCTTGATTTCTTCTTTGAACACCTAGCATTTGCTTTTGTCAGCAGTGGATAGCAATATCTCCATTTTCTCCATAGAGGACATCCAACATGGCAGAAGGATTTCAGGCCCAATACACTTGAGAAAAGTTCTTCTAACTTGCACACTCTTTTTCTACTTGGCTAAATGCCTCGCCTTCCTGTTCCTGAACACCTGAGGAGCACGTAGAGTCATGGCCTGGCACAGCACATTTTCCTCAGGGAACCCGCCCCCCTTCTTACAGAGCAAGAAAACTCCTGAAAATAATTTGTCTCCCTGTGACTAGACAAAAATTTAGAACTAATGCAAACCCCTCTTTTTGAAAATTCAGGTCTATTTCTGTCTTCACAGAAAAAGGGAAGGTAGGAGTGAGGGGGTGGCTGGAAATTGACCTCTTGAACATGGCAGATGAGCTGTCTTTTTAATTTGGCCTTAGCCAAAACAGCATCCTATGTGTTCCATCTCCTGGCTTGTTAAAGTATTTTCTTTATGGGGGAGAACAAGCCCCCTTGGAAATGGGTTCACTTTATTAACAGAAAAAAATCAAGTTGTAATGGAACCTCTGAAACGATGTTACCAGGAGTTCATGTAGACCTTTCAGAATAAGCACCTATGTTGTGTGGACTTTTATATTATTACTACTTGTTAACGCCTTTACTCTTGTCCATGTGCTCAGAGACCTTGGCAAGATGAGCATTTTATAAATCTGATAAATAAATAATTGAAGCCTCCCAATCAATATCACCCAAGGGATAATGAACAAAATAAACTAACAAACAAAATAGAAAAAAATATGTATCACCCAAGGGAGAAGGAAGAAGGCACTCAAATCTGCATTAAAATCAAGGTTCCCCATCCTCCCCCTCCTCTGGTAAATGCTAGGGAAGAAGAGGCAGAGGCCAGGAAAGGCTCCTCTCACCGCCTTGGGCTGAGAGCAGCAAGCTGATCCTTCCACTTAGCCCTCTACAAAGAGTAAATCAGTTCACTATGTCCGGTTTCACATGATGGGCACAGATAAGCCAGAGGATGGAAACAGCCTGCTTGCCCCCATGAAGCAAAGTCCACCAGCATGAGCTGGGCAGTCCATGCACGAGGGTGACTTGCTCACCGGGAGCGTCATTGAGACTGCAGTGTGTGGGCCCACACTGAACTGCTCTGGAAAAACGTTTCTGTCAGCACAGCGGTAAAGCACTCCAGAGAGGGTCTTTACAGAACTCTGCAGCCAAACTGAGCCCAAGGGGAATTCCACGGTAAGTCTCATGAAGAGGGATAAAGCCTCATTAGTGCAAAGAGGATTTACTATGCTCCCGATCCAACCAAGAATGCAGGTGCCTTGTTCCCAAATTTGTGATTCATTATGGTTCTACAGATCACCCAATTATAAGGAATCATCACCGGTTGGCGCCTGAGTAGCCTCCCGCTCTTCTAAAAATATCACTGACAATCAGACTGCACCTACAGGCCTTTGCATAGGGGAGAAATGTGCTGAGCTGGCAGGTGGTTTATTTAAAGAAAGCAAACAGCCAGGCTGGTGAGGCCTACTATGTAAAGGAAGACTTTTTAAAAAAATGAAATCATACCATTCAAACGAAGTTCAAAAATCATTTAGGCTCTCATTCTGCCTTAAGGTAAGTCTATCTACAAATCTCCAGGGCCAAACATACTAGTAAGGGAGTTATTATAAAAGACTTTGAAAAATAAAGTTCTACAAGCAAACCTTTTGCGTGATCAAACTACCCTCACTGTCAAAAAATTGCTAATTCGGACAGTTTTGCAATGGGTTGCTGGAGCCAGCTGAAACTGGTTTGTTAGATTTTTAGGAATTTTGCAAGCTAGGTGATTTCGCATTGGTAGTTTGAAATCAACCATGGAAAACAGCAAAGAGTATAATTCAGAACCCCAACTCTGCTCCACCCCTGCAAGCGGATTGTTAAATATTTACTAATGTACCATGCTCACAGGCTTTGGAAAACTTCTCCAGCTTCCTCTTCTCCAAAGGCTTACATTCTTTGAGAGTGGCGAAAAAGTAGAACTCACATCAGAAATCTCCTTTACAATTTTCTGGAAGAGTTAGCCTCTACTGAGAGTAAAAGGAAATCAACTGCTTTGCAAGACAACCCCCTTACAACAAAACTGCTGTATTAGAAAGACACCATTAGCCCCAATTTACCTGTGCTAGTCTTCCTATTATTTGCCTATCTTTGGAACATCCTTTAGTCCCTTCAGAGCTCTGGGAATTATCTCGTCTCTCAAACTTCAGGATAAGAATGGGTTCAGTACTTGAATGGGACAACTGACACCAGAAGTCGCCACAGGTGACCTCAGTATTATGAAGCACAACCCTACTTGCCTTCTGAATATAACTTCTCCCTTCCAGTAAAGAGCTAAGCTGAGTGCCCAGACCAGAAGTTCTTTACCTCCTGGAGTCTTTCAGACAGAAATAACTTGTAGTACAACTTAGGGATTGGGAAATGCATCCTCCATGACTTCTGAAAAAAAGTTATTGGCTCTGAAACCTAATAATAAAGATGTCCCGATACCAAGATGATTCTTCTTGGGCCCCTTGCATTTCCATCTATCTTATAAGGAGAGATATTACTGCCTTTCATTCTGGATTATTATTTTGAAGAAGTGTGTATAGCAAACAGCCTTAGGAGCTACAGATAATATGTCCAAAGCATGTTTACTGCCCATTAAAGGAGTTAGGGGTCCTTTTCTATAACACAGAGTATATGCAGGAATCCTTCTGGGCCCATCTGCATCACCCCCATAAAACGTTGGGCAGAGAACTAACTCATGTATGCTGCTCCTGCTGCTTCCCATGGGATGAGTAATGAAGTCCTTTGTCTCTGACCCAGGGGTCTCATGTCCTCTCATGTCTCATACCACCATCTATGAAACTGTGCCAGGCTAACTTACTAGCCTGCAAGTAGAGAAAATCTCAGACCCTTCGCAGTTCTTAACACCTGTTACCTATAAAGCTTTTAAAAAGTAATCTATATCTGTAGTTATATCTCTATTTCTACCTGTTTTTATCTACCTACCTATCTATTGAATGAGAACTAATTGTATCTCTCGGGGATTCTTTATAGCTCTCTTGGGCAATAATGTATAAGGCAGCACACAATGATGTTACTAGACTGAAAACTGAAGAGCTGTTCACTCTGTTGAAGATATACATATGAAACTAGCCAAAATGGGCATGCACAAAACAGACTTCTGGGTCCTTTAGGACAGGGCTTCTCAAGCTTTAAGGAACACAGAAATCATCTGGGAATCTCATTAAAATGCATATTTGGATTCAGTATGCATATCTGGGATGAGAACCAAGATACTGCATTTTTAACAAGTTTCCAAGCAATGCTGATGATGCTGGTCTTGATAGCAAGGCTCTAACAGCAACTAAATATGCATTTTATGCCTGTTAATACTCTAGTATTTGCATAAACTCAAACATTTTTTTAAACTGATAAGAACAGATACTACACTGATCTTAGTCAAAAGGCCAAGAAGCGATAAACTCTAACATGTTTAATAAAATTATCTACAACAACCCAAGAAGTCCACATAAATCCGAGAATGTCTATATTGGTTTAGTAAAGGATACTAAAACAGTTTCTGAGAACATGATCATGAGTGCTTATATACTTATATGAGGAAAATATCAAGATTTGATATGGCTTAGCCTTTAGTCTGCATTATAAACACATCTATTCAAAGAAATAGGAGCAAAGGAAACATGTAAGAGAAGACTTTTCTGGGTTATGTAAAGAGCTTGCAGACAGTAGCAAGCATTTAAGTAAACAGAGCAAATAGCCTCATGGTTAATGTTGCTGATAATTATATCTCTGTCCAGGCTAATGCTGATGGGCTAAGCATACAGGGAAAGAGGAAATAATATATGGACATAAAGACTGACTCTGAAAAATTAAATGTGCTGCCAGGGAAAACATAATGGGCAGGAGGAGGGCCTGACTTGTGGTCCTCACGCTGTCACTCCCTTGCTACAGAAGCTGAGGGAAACTGAGGCACTCCCTGCTGAAAGGTGATAGGATACTCCAAGATCCAGACCCCTGGCCACTTCATCTTAGTCTAGGCCTCAGTCACCTCTACAGGCAGACACTCAGCCTCATAGGCCCTTTTTTTAAGACTATCGTCCTCCAAAGAATTTAATCTTTCCATCTCGTCTTACTCACTTGGGAATAAGTTACATGCCCATTTGAAAAGCACCAGAGAGAGAGGGCTCAAAAATTTTTTTGAAAGGCAGGAAATATATTTGGTGATTTTATTAGGAAATATTGAGTAGTACTTGCTTGCTTTCTTTTCTTTCTTTCTTTGTCTCCTTCTTTCCTTTCTTTTGACTTTTTTCCTCCTTCCTATCCTCTTCCTCTTCTTTCTCTCTCTACAATAAAGACTACCAGGGAGGCAGTAGGTATGTATTTCAGAATTCCATGCACCAGTTTCTCATGAGGTTAGTGATTAACACTTTTGTAAAGATTTCTATGGTCAAATAGAAGGTCCTGGGTTAGGAAATCCTGGGTTAAACAGAGTTCAAAGGTTTCTTTACTATCTCAACCCTTTAACAGGCTGATGTCCACCATGCTCTCTGAGATGGGGCTGTGGCTGCTGCATTTTCTATATTCGACCACATAAACACCCCTCTCCCATCCACCTCCCACTAGTGTTCTGAGGAATTCACTCTGAGAAAGAGAGCTCTGACATGAAGATTTTGAATGCTGGAGCCCAAGCTGTTGTGTTTAAATTAGACCCCCCGGGAACAAGCATTGTGGCCTTGGATAAGTCACACAACTTCTCTGAGCTTCCAGTTTCTTCAGGTGTGGAAGGAGTCAATGGCATCTACCAGATGGTGCTATTGATAGGACAGAGTGAGACAAATTATGCAAAGCACCAGGCACAGAGCTGCTTGCCCACCTTGGCCTTTCAGATTCAGAGGAGTGGTTAATCCACATCCCTTGAGGGCTGGATAAGGAAGCATTCATCTTACCAAAAACTACTATGGAGAGGAGGCCACCAGCCTCTTTTCTAACTTCACAAATTGCAAAACTGGACCTGTGTCTTGTCCCATCCACTCACATCTGAATATGCTCTTCCAAGGGCTGGCCCTCAGGCTGTGTTTGTCTGTGGTCAGTCCTAACAGATGACATTTGCCAAATGAATGAAGGAGAGAAGGGAAATATTGATATGGAAAAGGCCACAGAGAATAAACAATGGCAGGAATGAGGCCAGGCCAGAGAGAGAGGGCATGACCGTCCTGAGTCAAATCTGACTTTACCTGTTAGAGAAACAGGGACTCAGGCAAGTGAATTCTTTCCCTGGGACTCATTCAGGGTCCCCGTTTCAAATATAAAGATAAAGATACAAATATCACAGAGCTGTGTTAAGGAACCAGGGGAGATCACATATGCAAAGTACTTAGCACAGCACCTGGCACAGAGTAGGAACTACATCACAGAGAAATAATCACAGTAGAAAATAATCACAGAGCTAAGTGTTCTTTTTCGGAATGAAGGGGGAAAAGTAGATACTATTATTCTCAAATCAAATTCTCTGGTTTCTAGATTGGAAAATATATATTGTAATCCTTCTAGGGAAACCCCAGGAAAAGGACTAGGCACAGGGCAGAATATTTCATTCCCCACAACTGACTGCAGATGTGCCCAATGACTGGTGGCAGATGCAGTTTCCATGCTGTCATTCTGAGAGAGAGAAAACAGACACTACTACCTATTGGATTCCAAGAAGATTACAGACAACAATGAAAGAACATTTCAAGTTTGCTGAATAAGGACTTCTACCCGTCCTCCTCACAGAAGTCAGGTAGGGGGACCACTTCCCTAAGTTAGGACTCCCCTCACCTCCTCCACCCACGACTATATTCTCCCCCACCTTATACATTTATTCATCTATTGTCTGTCTCCCTCATTGCAATGGAAGCTCCACAAAGTAAAGACTCGCTCTGCCCTCAGGGTCTATTACAGGCTGGCCCAGAGCAGTTTCTCAGTAAATATTTGTTGAAAGAATGAATGAATTCCACACTAGTTATTTAATAAGCATGAACACTCAAGGATTTATAGTCCATTAAAACAAAATGAAGACCATGAGACCAGAATTTTTAAAAAATTAGTAATGTTATTATAAATCAAATGAACAGCTTTATTAATCACTTCCAACATTAATAGAAAAATCAAGAAAGTGAAAAACCTTGGCAGGAGCCAAGAAATCACCATAAACATAATCATACTTCACATTTAGATGTTCTAAACCTGCCTCTCACTGGCTTCCTTATCAATTTCCAAATGCAGTGGCTCCGCTGTGTCCTCAGGACTCAGGACCAATTCCAAACTCCATAGCATGGCAGGAAGGCCCTTTGCATCCTGGCCCTTATCCATCTCACCATCATCATCTCCCACCACTGTCCTCTTACATCTCCACCCCAGCAATATCCAAACAAGCCCAACATGAACCTCTCTGCCTTGATAGGTGTCTCCTTCTTCATCTCATCTATGTGGTGAATTTCTCCTCATCCTTCCAAGCCTCATTTGAAGGTTGACTCCTCTGTGAAGTACTCCCTGATTTTTTTAGACAGAATGAATCAGTCCCCTCTTGTGCACGGCTATTTAGATTATTTACTGCCTTACCATCTACTTAGATGTCATTTATTAATGTATTATCTGTGTAAGTGATGTACACATACTTATTTTATGTGTCTGGCACATTGTATATGCTCAGTAATATGTTTATCAGAAGAACAAAGAAAAGGATGCGTGACCACTGTTACACTTTCTCTTCCCACATCTCTATCCTTCCCAGCTAATTAATGACCTTACAACCAAAGACAAAAGATCACTGAGAAGGTATGGAGGTAAACTTTATGAAGCACAATATCTGCTGGGCACTATCTTATTAACCTTTTGGTTATCCCCAGAAGTCTTCTCTGAAATTGGTGCTGTTATGCCCATTTTATAGATAATGAAACTCACAGAAAAAGAACCTTTCAGAATGTAGAGTCCAACCTGAGTCTACACTCCTCCGACTACCTTGTTTTGACTCAAATGCAAGGTCTATTTTATCCTTTATCAATTCAGAGGGTGTTCTCTTCCCATATTCTCACCTCTTAAACTACGTTTCCAAGTGGCCCTTAAATGGCATCTGTCTACCAAACTTCTCTAAGCCTCCTGGACGTTCCCCTCTCTTCAAGATCCTCTTGCTCCAAAAGCCCGACTAAACGTTCCTAGTGCCTTCTAATTCTTCAGTAATTCTTCTACCCAAGCCTCCCGAATGGCTTTGAAACAATGTATAAGAATAAACCATGAATACCAAAAAGTCATGGTGCCTTCTTCTGTCCTTGTAGTTCAGTTCAGTTAAAAAAAAAAAAAAAAAAAAGACATTTACTGAGAGTTAACTCTGCCTTGCACATTGCCAAGTACTGGAGACATAGAGATAACAGAACAGAACTGTTGACTTCGAGGAGCTTTCAGATTAATGGGAAGATTAACAGGTAAAACATATTCTTTCAATATGATAAGCTAAGCATTTTTTTTTTTCTGGATGATTACTCATGGTATTAAAAGTCTACAAAAAAGGGGCTTTGTCCAACCCGAGGCTATCAGAGGAGGCTTTCTGGAAGAGGTGATGCCTGAGGTTTATCTTTAAAAGATAGGCAAGAAACAACCAGGCAAAGGGATGGGTGAACAACACTCCAGAAAGAAAAAACAGTATTGTCTGCAGCACTAGGAAGTGGTGACATCACCTTACAGGAACTTGAATGGTCACTGGTGTGGTTTTCGTGTATTCTTGCTGAAATTTTCACATGTGGAGGGCTTGTTTTGTAATCAATAATTCAAACAGAACCCAACCCATTATCCCTCCTTTTTTCTTTAAGGGTCTCTCCATGTCAGACACTGATGACTCCTGTGAGATGAGTTCAGGTTTTCAGGATGCTGTGGTCCATTTAGAGGCAGGAGAGAGTCATTTTCTACACAGCATCCCAGTACAATAAAGTCATGGGACTGAGCATGACCACCCCAGAGGGAGAAATCCCCATCCTCCCAATGCACATTCTCTACTCCCTTTCTTGTCTGCACTTTCTCCACGATTTTGTTTTCCTATGAACTATCCAGATTCCCTCACAAACTGGACAAAGATCTCTCTTCACACAACAAAGTGATATGACTTAACTCAAATGTTTATTAGAAATTATTTCGGGAAACTAAGATGGCGGCATAGATAAACACCGGGAAATTTCTGCTTCCCACAACAATCGATAAATGCATCAAAAACACAAGGTGGACATCATCCAGAGCTACAGGAGGGCTGGCTGAGTGTAAATTCTACAACTAGAAGGAGAGAAAAGCACACTGCGAGCGGGAGGAGCTGCGGAGGTGGCGTGCAGAGGTACGGGGGCTCGCGCGCGCGCGCGCGCGGAAAGGGTCTGGCACCTGAGGACGCGGCTGTCTTTTTGAATCCGGAGGGAGACACAAGCTCCCGAAGGCTCTG